GTAAAATATATTTATAATAAAATATAATATTAAAATTTAACATTGAATGAAAAATATCGAAAATTGATAATAAAAAAAGATCTGCATTACTAATGATTTTTCAGAAAAACAAATTTTGCAGCACTCAGTGCCACGGCGCACCCGGTTAAGGATTAAAAATATTGGTGTATGTTTATATGTAAATATTAAATTTATTATATAAAACATAAGAGAAAACTAATTTTAATTATTTAATGCTTTAATTTATAGCCAAAACCAGCTGGACTACTTCTGTTTATTATATATCGCGCGTGATATTTATATTATTTATATAAAAAACTCTGAGTAAAATATTATATATGATTAAAAAGCACAATACAAGTAAAAAGCGTTACATATGTATAACTTATGGATATTGGATACCGGAATTACATGTTATATGTAATGTAAATTGAATAACAACTTGTTATTCAATTGAATATTTTTAAATATCATTGTTCAGGATCATTCAGGAATTCTCTCTTTTAGACTGTAAGCTTATTAATGTTCACACTAAGTCGATAACTTTGTTGCATTCTTTAAAGCCTACAATGTATTGTATTATAGAATATTAAACTTCATAATACATATATCCATATGTCTCATTTAAATGACTTTATGTTAGATTAATCTTTGACCTAATAATTATATACTCGTATAATAATAGAAACGATATATTAAGTAAAAGTTTGGACACATAATAATAAAATATCTTTAACATCTCTATCATTTCCTGTAAAAAGTATAAGTAAATTCAAAGAATACTAAAAATCAAATATCAAAAATACTAAAATCAAACCTGTTGTTAGAGCAGGAGTCCATTGCTGGTCCACAGCAGTACCCCACGGGATAGATGAAGGATTCGCAGCTTTATCCCCATTAGCAACTGTAGGGGGATTAGGTCGCGATGACTTTCCTTTTGTGTCTGTAAGGATATGACATTTATTATTTATTGCCTGTATTCATAGTTAGGCTTTAATATAATTAATATTGAGATATCTGGAAGGGAGGAAAAGGATGAAGGATAGAAGCTATCCTTCGCAATTGCTCATATTGTTATTTAGATATACATAAGTTTGACTTTGTTGTTAATTTAATTGGAGTTAATATATTGACTTTGCTGATATCGTAATAGGATAAGACACATTAAATATAAGAAATATAATAACCAATAAAATAAATCGTAAAGCATCTAAAGATAAATTAAGAAAGTCTTAAATATAAGGTCTGACTATGAAAACGGGCATATGTCTCTTATATTTATATACCTTAAAGCTTTGTTTCCATGCATGCATTGCCGTGCATTATAGCCTACGTCAAATGCGCGCATGTTTGTGCATGATCATGTTTTCATGTGCATTTAATTGGTGGAACGCATAAAGACACGCGTTTGACGTACGCACAACGCACGGAAACGCGTGCATAGAAAGAGTAACCAAGAGTAAGAGTAATATTATATTTAATACTAACAATCTTGAAATCCTGTTTGAGATGCTGATCTTGAAATCTGATGTGAATTATTCGCTCCAGCTTCCATCGAAGATCCGCTTTTGATCGATGATATAGCCTCACTTTGTGACTCTAAATGTGATTGCATTGGAACAGCTTGATAATGATGTTGCTGTATTAGAACTCCTGTAGGCCCTATATATACATTACACATATATGTATACATAATTATTAGGTGTTGGAATTAATTCGTAGCGTTTTACAAGTGATGGGAAGTACTTTCATTAATGTATTTTTTAATGCTCATGTGAAATAAATAACATTCTTTCATTAAAAAACGCTACGAATTAATTCCAACACCTAATATATTAATATAACTTTAATAGTTTTCATATAACATACATATATATATATATATATATACAGTACACATATATAGAGTCCTTAAAGAGTTCAAAAATTGTCAAATATTTCAAAAACGAAGCATTTTTAAGAAAAATGTTTCAGACAAAAGTTATAAAGTTTTGAAATTATGTATTTACTAATCTGATCAGTTTGATCTCGGGTGGAATCGCCAAAATCAAGGTCATTGATTTTTTTAAACAGGACATCCTATTTTTCCAGAATGTAATAACTGATATCAAGAGTTTTTTAAAACACTGTAATAAAGTTATTTTTCATTAAGTACTTTTCGAGTTATAAGGCTTGAAAGTCACAATATCGTTAGCATTAGCATTACGCAAGGAACCCGACTGCTAAAATCTCTTGAATGTTGTTCAGGATCATGTTCTGGATAATATTTGTCAAAATCAAGGCTACTGGAGGTTATATCTTTTATTTCTTTCGGATTCATCCAATTTTCTGATATTTACCTTATATGAATAATATTTACATATGAGTAAATTATATTTACCAATATAAATTATAATATAGGGTGTCCCGAATTTAAATGGCCACATGGCCACTTCAGAAGAAAATAGATAAACTAAAAAAAATAGTTCTTTACAGATATGCTCGTTTTCGCTTCGTTCTAGAGAAAATCGTAAAAAAAGAACGAAATGAAAATTACAAAACGTAATTTTCATTTTTGTACTTATTACTTATTCATTTATTTATTCATGTTGTTACTTTTTTAATGTACATATTGTTCAAAATGTTGACCTCTTATAATAATGCAAGCATTATATCTACTATAGACAACCAAAGACTGATCTGGTGATATTTCATGCACTACAGTCATATGCAGTACATTCCGTCTCTCGACATTATTGTTTTCGAGTACAACTTCAATAATAATGCTTCAGATTTCAGAAGCAGTGTAAGAGTATGCGCGCCGATTTTCAGATAGAAGAGTACTGGATCAACAAATCATTATGTTGACCAGATCAGTGTTCTGTATGTTGTCTTTTTTTTGCGATTTTCTCCAAAACGAAGAGAAAACGAATATATCTCTAAAGGACTTTTTTTCTTAGTTTATCAATCACCTACATACTCCCAAAGTTTGATCATTTATTTGAGACACCTGTGTACCCTGTACATTTATGAAACGAATAATAGTATAAAACAAATAATAATACCTTTCGGAAATATATGAGTCCACCGTCGTCTGTTGCTGGTAAGTTTAATGGTAACATGTGATGGATCAAAAGGATTGATTAATGCTCTACCAGGCCTAAGTATATTCGTTGGCTGAGAAATTGAGTTTGTCGGGCTACCAGCACTACCAACAACAGGTCTAAAAGGTGGAGATATTTCAGAGTCAGTTAAATCGTTTTTAACTGGCGTTTTGGATACACCTGCAATTATTGAAATTATTTAATAAATATCTTAATAATATAAAAATTATTACCGATTACATTTATGAGCTTACCAGTTCTATCCTCATTAGATTCGATATTACTGTCATCAGTTTTATGCGGTATCGTTATTGCTGCACTTCGTAATGCAAGAATTGGTGGTGAATGTGTTTCAGGTGGTGGATGATGTATATCAGGATCCGACATTTTACGTTTCAAGAGCTTTAATAAATAGCCATTATTATGAGTTTCAAGACACACTACGCTTGTCTTTTTCCTTCTTGTATTTAACCTTTGTACACTAAACGATTGAAAGAAACGGCAATGATATAACGGCAAATATATATACTTTTATAATATATTAATATATATAATTCAATAAAATAACAATGATTAGATTTATCTATTGTGTGGTGTGGTGTGTGTGTGTGTGTGTGTGTGTGTGTGTATACGCGCGTATGCGTGTACATGTTTATCAGAATTTTACCATAATTTATATTTCTACGTTACAAATACTGTCGAAAAAAAAAATGTTATTTTATCATATTAAAAACAAATATTTCAGATTTATTAAGCTAGATATATGAGCATGTGATACTAAACAATAATGTATTTAGTCTATTTACCTTGAAGTATGAACTGTGGGTAATTGAAACACTTGTGCATCATAAGCATCATAATCGAATAATGTATTATGCAGACATTCTCTTGGATCTTCCTGTAGAAGTCTGGTTTTGCAATGTAATTTGTCATTATCTGTCAGATGTTTCGATATTTTTTGCGGCAATTTTATTCGTGGTATAAATGTGGAATAAGGAATCTTTTTATTTGTGGAATAGAAACTAAGATTTATCCAATGAGGCATGCTATAATCATCTGGTGCATTTATAGAAGAGTCTTTATTATGAAACTAGAATCAAATATTGCATATATATAAATAAATTATACACACACACACACACACACACACACATATATATATATATATATATATATATATATATATATTTTTTTTATACTTATAGTACTTTTAATAATGGAACTGCATGAAGTGGTTGTTCCCCAACACATACTAAATCACTTCCTACACCGTTATCAATGATTCTTTGCTTTGTCACATTTGTCAGCTCTCTATCAACTTCAAAGACTCCAACTCCAGGTGTAATGACTACAGATAACTGACCAGTCCTGTCAAAACTACGATCCAAGTAGTGTTTCTCAAAAACTGTCAAAAAGATATGGATAGATAAAAATATCATAAATACAAGATACAAAATATAATAGATACATAAATTACAATGTTATTTTTTGCTTTTAATGCTTACCATTCAGAGACATATTTAACACTTCCAGAAAATTGCCCTGTGCAGCAGTAGAATTTACTGCCTTAGGCATATTAATACCTGGTTTTTGGTGATATTCCAAAACAATTTTTTGATAATCAGTGAACAGTTTACGTAACTGTACTAAGATATTACTCCAGTCTTCAAATCTTTCATTTTGTACTGCAACTCTATAAAAATCTTCATAAAATCTTCCTCTGTAATCATGTTGCAAACACTCTCTCATATAATTCGGAAATTCCTCCAAACTGGTTGCATTATAAAAAGTTCTTGAGAACAGTACTATGGTAACCTCATGATTGCTACCATTCCTTTTCCATTTCTGAAATAAATCTGCTAAGAATCCATTAACCGCTTTTTCAAAGTAAAGATCTCCATGTATATCAAAATCCCACATTTCAGTACTCATTTGAATAAACAGGTACACCATACTTGTAGAAGATCGAAACACTACCTGTAAATCAGATTTTTTTGTAATAAAAATAAAGAGGCAATATTAATAAAATACTACAATTTCCTACAAACTTTAGTATCATCAGTTATAACACCGCAAGCAACACGATCACCCTGTGACCACATTTCATATACCTGACAACGTATACTACCACCACAAAACTCTATCTTCTTATTAATATATACGCAAGTGTTGACCTACAAAAGAACACAAACTTATATAGATATTGCTTCAAAATATAGAAGAATCAATTACAAATGTAAATGTAAAATAAAGAAATATGGTACCAAGCTATTTTTCAAACGCCACATCTCACTACGTCCCATATACTGGTCCTTAAAAGTTAACTCTATAGAATCTAGAGCTACATCATCCGGATTTACTATATTCATGTAAACATCAGCAAACGTTCGCAATTGGAACATCGATGCTACGTTATTTTCCACGCTGATAGTTTCGCGTCCCTGGAGATCTTCCTTGAAGGAGGTAACTTGCAACAACAAACGACTAAACTCATCTTCGGGATGATAAATTTCGACGACATCGCCAGTTTTTATGCCGGGATAATCCTTCGGATTGATGATCAAGTCTTCTCCACTAAAATTCTTTTGATGCACTATCAACTTAAAAAGCTTCATACTTCATCCGACATTCTGATCTGTAGCAAAAGTTTAAGTAACACACCATTCGTACATAATAAAATATAAATATAATAATGAATAGAAGAATTTGCTAATTTAATTTTTTCCGCAAAGACATTTCCTTACTATTTATATTGCTTTTTTAATTTACATACGCTTATATCACTACAGCGCAGTGTTGCCAACTTTAAATTTCAAAATTCCGCTAGATGCTTGACCAAAAAATTCCAAAAAATAAACTAAATTTTTCAAAAAACAAAAATAAGCTTAATTTTACAAAAAATGTTATAAAAAATAATAAATCATTGTAAATGATTTTAAATATACTTATCAAACTAGTTTTCTAAATTTAGAAGATTTTTATTTATAAAATATATAAACATCCTGTACTGCATAAATATTTAAATTCTAATTATAAATATAAGTGTAATATGCCTATTATAAGCCAAAAAAACTAATTCAATCGGTTAAATAAACGGGACTGAAATATTAGTATACATATTTATGTAAGATACATTTTTATATAATAAACGAAAATACATTTTTATATATTTTTTGTGTTTATGTATGTATACACACAATAAAGTATATATACAATAAAGTAATATATATTAGCTATCCAAAAGTCTGTAAAAAATGATGTAATTCAAAATTTTCATATTTGTGTGAATACACCTTTTTTGTTCCAATAATATCCAATGTTTTTTTATTAAGATCATAATAACTTTTCATGTTTTCATGATCGTCGCAAATTAATTTATTTAAAAAAAAATCCGCCATTTCTGTTTCTAAAATAATCCAGAAAATTCGCTATCCGCTAAAACATAATTTTTTTCACTTCAATTGATAAAAAATACACAAGATTAGCGGAAAAAACACTAAATTAGCAATACTACTACAGCGATGATTCTATTGAGTGCGTTCAGCAGAAAAAGCAGCTTTGCAACTTTGCTTTGTAAAATTCTGCAACATGATTGGTTTATACGTTTCGATCTATAAGAAATTAAAAGAACAAATTGTATTGAAGAATTTTAACAGTTGCAAAGCTGCTTTCTCCTTTGACTATAGCTGTGTTCCAAAATTTACTAAAAATCTATAATTTACGTCATGTCCACTATAGATTGTCAGTACTGGCAGTAAATTTTGGAATACAGCTTATATACATGGACTGCAGAGAGAAACCTGAGGGAGGACATGACGGCCCAAAACCTGTAACCACAAAATGTTACCGCACACTACTGCCCTCTGACAAAGTGGATGTAAATATATAGCAACGACCAAAGCTATATAGTTACATGTAACACGATTATATCAACCAAATATTGATTTATCATCTCCAGCTTTGACTTTAACGCTTAATGTCTCGGTTCGCAAGGCAAAGCGACGGTATTTTCTGCCAGATTTATTTCATGCAAGAACGCATCGATTGGGTATATTTTTATCAAAATTTGAGGGGGATGGAGTCTTTTTAATTTATCCTTCGATATATTTTTTATTATAACTGAAGATAATGAAAGAATCTTTTAAATTAAAAGACGGTTTGAGATAAAGACGGTTAGAATAATAGTTTTCCGAAAAAGTCGCTTCATGGGAATCCAGCCACAAAAATTTCGGATCGACAAGCACGCAATTTTATAAATGATTATATTGTATTTATATGCTGGAAAAATGAATGCTTATCTACATATTAATGAATTAATACTTATCGAATAATTATTTATTAATAATGAATTTCTTTTTATACGTATAGAAATTCAATTTCGATAATCTTATATTTAATATATTGTATATGTGCAGACCAAGACGGACAATAATGCATCCCAATAATTCTGATTGATGATTGATTGGACTCTATTACTTTTCCGAAATTCCGACTGTTGTGGGACAGCACCTTTAGTATACAGGGTATTCCACAATTCGTGACTGAAATTTTAATAACACAATCTTAACTTACAAATAAGACAAAAATCCTAATATCAAAATGTCAAGGCTATAATAGTTTTTAAATTAATTCGTTACACATATTTAAAATAATTCGTTATACATATTTATTTTTAATATTCTGTAATATTTTTATGTACATTGCACATATAATTTTTTTCTATATTTAAACATGATTAATGAAGTATTATAACATTATTATATACAATATATTATTACTTCAATCTTACATGGGAATAAATATAGGCATACGAACATTCTCTTGTGTGATTGTACCGTCCTTAAGCGCACGAAATATCAACTCTGTGATTAGTTAACTTTAACCGCTTAATTTAAAAACTATTACAACCTCGACATTTTGATATTAGGATTGTCTTATTCTTAACTCAAAAATATATTATTAAAATTTTAGTCACAAATTGTGGGACATTCTGTATAGCAATGTTCAATAACAAGAATTTTAATAGCTGAATTTTAATATGTAATAGAAAAATGAGAAGCAATTATCAATTTTTGTTATTTTTATTTCTATGCTACTTTTATTCATTCAGTATACATAAATATATTGTGATAAATTAATTGTTAAAACGATTTTTTATAAATCTTACATATTCTTGAATTTGTAAAAAATTATCAAAATTATTTTAAGTTTTCTTCAGAATTATCTTAAATTTATATACTTATTTTTTATCTCCTTTTTATAAGATATATTTATCTTAAATTTCATATATCAAGATATATCATGATATAATATACTGTATCTATAATCATATCTAATATGGAAAATGTGAGATACATAGAATCATATAAAATGTAAATAAGCAGGAAACTGTATTAGGACTTTAGTATATTTATATTTTTCTGCATATTCCAAGCATGTTTCTGCGACTGCCTGGTGGACATATTTTTTTGGGAACAGTCATTATTATCATGAAGGGCGCAATGTTCAATGGTATACATTCCAATTGGAAAGTAGTCTCGCTCACGCCTAATACTTCTGTAGGTGCGCACGGACCACCTATAGTTCTGAGAGGATAACACACACCGTTGTACGGAACTATACTATCTTCTGAGCAAGGATTCTCCACACAACGAGGAAGTACCTCGTTTTTTAGAAGTATGACGTAATTCTTGTATGAACAGGGACCCTGTCTGTAGGCTTCATAGCAGGAATCATTTAACGGGAAGTACAAGAACCGTGGCCTACAATCGCACACCCATGAATTCTTCGCGCCATTGCCTGGATAAAGAAGCATGTTTTCCGGGCAACTATCTGGTATTGACACGGGTATGCGTTCCGTTATCGTCTGTGAGAAGACGAGTATATATAAAAAAAAATTGTTCCTCATGATTTTGTATTAATATTATATTACCGTAGAGTTACCACCGCTAACATGGGACGTTTCCTCGTCAGTCGGAAATATCAGATCCTGGCTTCGTATCACGTAAATATACATGAGAAATACAATTCCAACGTATAAGCGCTTCATCTTCACTTTGAGACAAAACTATGTCTTTGAGAAGAATAAAAGTACATTGGTATCTATAAACTTGTAGATGGGGATATGGGAAATTCCAACATAGTTTTGCATAAATTAATATTAATGTGTTTCTACCAATCAGGCAACAGTAAAAATAACTCGATCCGCTTCGGATCTTCTTCACTTGAATGACAAACTAAAAAAGAAAAACATTAATGAAATATGTTTACTAAAAAAACGCCCACATTATAATCAATTACAAATTGTTTAAACAGTCACTAGTATTATAATTATGTCTTAACAATTACATTTTCTCATTCTATAATTATAATTATTTTAAATATTTAAATTTAATAATAAAAATATCAATAGTTAGAAAATCTTTTGATATCGATAATTTCAGGAATTTACATTTTTTTAACAAGTTGCACATATGTTATAAAATTAATTTTTTATATGTTTAAAAAATTATTTAAAAAATATAACGATATATTTTACTTGTTTCTAATAAAATTAGAAATACAATTAGAAATAATTTTTCTTTTTATATATAATGAATTATTTATTTTAATATTTTAAGTAATTATAAATTGCTGGCTTTATGTTTAATATTCTAATAATAATCCAATATATAATTAGGCATATATAAAATTAAGCTAAATGGAATATCCATTTGTATATATAAAAAAAATTATTGTAGAAGTCATTTAATGTTCACAACTTATTATATATATATGTTTTCGTACATATATCACAGTGCAAAATGCAAAGAATAAATTTGAGCACTAAATGAAACATAGAGATTTTAATTATTTCAATTTCAATCGTTAGCAAGATTTATCACCAATAGTACTAACAGTATAAGTACATTCTTATATGTTACAAAAAATACTGATAAAATCTAAAATAATTCAAAATAATTTAAAATAGCATTATGCGCAATGTGAATTTTCAACACATTCGATAATACTTTTTTAAAACTATTAATAAACGAGATTTAAATGTGTGCAATTCTTGATACTGTATTCAGAAATTGACAATTTTGAAAATTGATAAATTTTGAAAAATTTTTTAATAATTCTTCATCAATACGATAATTCGAGTATATTTTACAAATTTACCGATCTTTAGAAAGATTCAATGAATCTCCCATGTCAATCGATTGCGATGATTGTTGTTTTTTATGTAACGCCGTCATGTCCAACATGTTTCCAAAGTCAGATTTAATGCTCGATATTGTCAAATCCTCCGTTCCTTGATATTCGCCCGGCCTGCCGATCTTCGTCGGATCGGTTTGTGGGTCCAATTTCTTTCGATCAGTCGTATAATCATCAACGCTCACCGAGAAATTTCTGCAAGCCTCCGATGTGTTGACACTCTTAAAGGGTGATGATATTGCATCAACAGTAACGAAATCACCCGGTTTGCGTTCATTACCGTCCATGTCTTTTGCGGGTGAGATCTTGCCGAGGGGACCGAACAGATTCGCAATGTTGCGCATATACGTGGACGGTGAGGGCGATGAAGTTCTTGTGAAGTCCGCGATGGAGAACCCCGATAGCTTCGCTAAATCGGTTGTAGGAAAATTCGCCAACTTCGTCAAATCCGAAAACTTTGTAATCTGTTGAGTAATATCCGCTAGTGGAAAGTCGGGATTTGTTCGAGACTTGACACTACTGTCACCAATCAGATTCGGTAGTTTCGAGAAGTCTGCAGGCGCGAAATCATAGTCGCACTTCGCATTCTTCACCGATACTGTCAGTTCGCCAGATTGGAAGCTTGGTATTATCTCCGATGGTGATATGTGCTTGGAACCCACAATGGAATTTCCGTCTTTTATCTGAGTGATAGATGCAGCGTCATTAGAGCATATAGTATTGTCCTTCTTGATGCTGTCTCGTGAGGTCGACGGTTGTAGTACAAATGGCTTGGAAGTAGGCGTTATTATGGCACCTCCATCAGGTTTGAAGTTGACTGGCGCAAGGAAAACTGCCGCGTTACTGGCCGTGAGTCCTACACCAGGCGGAACTGGAGGCCCCAACGATTCTGAGGCAGATACCAGAGGAAATTTCATGGTTAGAAACTCAGGTGTATTGCTATCCTCTGAGCCTGGACATATCATTTCCCTGATCACATCCCAATATGAACTGTTTGATCTGTTTCGACCAGGTAATTTTGATGCCAAGGAACACTATTAACATAGATTAATACATAGATTAGTATATAGATTAATGAGGACTTGTTTGCATTTGTCATTGTCATATACTCACTCTTAAACGTTCTAGATACGTCGTATTACCGTTAAAATTGGCAGTAAAGTCAATACCACCCTCACTCTTATAATATTCTATACATCTTCTCTACAAAAGTAAACAATATAAATATCAGTGACAAACATGATAACATAATACATAAGATAATCTTTTATAGAATCTAATCATTTTATTTCCAAATTTTGACATTTATATCTTGCTTAATTGAACTTTAATTCAATTTATGCATAGGAGAGAAAAACGTTGGAAATGAGTTAATTATTACAAAACATTTACAATTTCCTCCAGTGTATCCTGGGAGAGAAAGTGCTCCTGCGATAATGTGTAACTGAGAAGCATAGGTCGAGGATATTCATGGGGTCTGTTTTCAGGTGGCGGTAGAGACCAGAAGACATTAAAATTTGATTCATAACAATTACCATCCATATTGTAAGGTGCTACAAAATAGAATGAAATGATCATTGAGCGATTTTATGTTGTATGACAAAAAAATTATCTAAAATACTTACAGCATATCAATCCTACACATGGTATGTATCCATTATCACTAGGTCCCTTCATCTTAATCTGATAATCCAACTGAGAGTCCACATCTCTTAAAGAAGGTGATGCATGAGAGCGTGGATGAGAATGATACCAGCCTACCAATGTTACACGTTTCCATTCCATAGCTCTTGCAATTTCAGCTTCCACGGCTGCAGCAGCTGACTTATCCTTACCAGAGTATCGACATGGAAATGCGCACGTTACAGAAAGATCTATAAGATATATCTCTTAGTAAATCAATAATACATGATGAAATAATTATGAATGCTTTCCAGTAAAAGACAAATGAGTATAACACAGCAAATTATTATATCCTTAAGTTTGTTTAGCTGAGCTTCTTGCACTTTTCATCTTTTTTTTCTTCAATGTAAAAAAAAATGCAACGATGCAAGAAAATTCATCTGAAGAAAACAGGCCTCTTGTTTGCCAATGTTAAACAAACATGAAATGATCAATCTGTTACACTATGGCTGTGGTTGATTTAGATATATTCAATGCTTTTAGTATTTCTATTCTTAACATCTAACGATAAAGACAGAATAATGATTACAAACGCTTAAAGTATGCTAGCATCCAAATCAACCGTAGCCTATGTCCTTACTGTATAGCATTGTATATATTATATATGTATACATCATATAATTAAGAATGAAATATACTATGCGAATTAATATCCCAATGACCACCCAAATAGCCACAAACTTCCTTGTCTGTTAAGTGACAATGTAAGTCTACTAACAAAGCTGCAGTAGTTGTGATAGTCACTAAGAAGGGCTGTATTTTTCCTAGCGTGCTAAACGATGTGAGTTCTACCATTGTGCTCATGTCCCTGTGAAGTGTCATAATTTTCATAAATATATTATAAATATTTCATATAAATAGGCATAATTCTTTTTTATGAGAAACTTACATTGCATGACTTCGTATTCCTAGATTGGCATGTTTCACTGGAACCCTTACTATTTGGATTGGAAGATTGGTTTGGATTTTCTCACCACCCTCCTCTGTGGTATCGATCAGACACGTTTCCATGATTTCAATATACTTTAGAAGATTAAATAGCAGAAATACAGCGTCGAGAAGTCCATATATATGTTCTTCTCCTTTTTTTTTCTCCTAAATATACAAACCATAAAGCAATAGCGCTTGCCTCATTGAAAAATTTTTATCGTTACGCGTATTATGTTATGTCTCAAAAAACCGTGATAGCGTTTTCTAACTAGCGTAAATTATAAATAAATTTGTGTAACAAATCAAAAAGACGCTTCCTATCGCATTAACACTTAACCCAACTTAACTTGCTAGAATTGACATAAAGTCTGCTCTTTGTCACTGCACTACAATTATGGATGCGGTAAAGTCACTAGATTTCTAAAGGCTGTGTCACAGTGTAAAGACAGAGAAAAACCTGAGAGAGGACATGACGGTCCAAAACCTGTAACCGCAAAATGCTGCCGCGTAACATTGACTGTCACATAATCACAGGTTACACATATGTATATAGTAGTATGTATGTAGTAGATACACGTGTGTAATCACGTGAGAGTCAATACTTCCAATTTTTCTCGCAAGGCTTAATGGCACTAAAAATCATCTACCGAATTTTCCATGGGTTTTCCTACCGTGTTTCAAGCCCACTTTTTTCGTGATCGTTTGAGTTTGATTTTCTTCTTATTATTCCGTGGCCAAACTACTTGACTGTGATTAGTCAATTCGTATAGATTACGACATACAGTATATGGTTATGATCAATATAAACGCTCCCTAATGCATGGTCTACAATGCATGGGCAGAAATCGATCAATCATAGTTGATTATTTTTCTCACATTCAACTATAATTGGTCTATTTTTACGCCTACTCCTTATCCACTACTGCTATTGCCCATTGTAGACCATGTATAAAGTTTATTCTACAATAATCATAAGCGTAGTTGTAAATGGTTGTAATTGTAAGAATTGATTGACAATTAAGTCGAATGTGAGGAGAATATTTGACTGTGATTGGTCAATTCTTACAATTACAATCACAACTATTGTAGGATAGACTTAAATGAGGACTATCCCCATTCATTCCTCGAATGCGCAGTCTAGAGATATTATGTCTATGGTGGTCGCGCGATATCGGTTATCGGCGTCCATCCATACTCCATTACTCCATATTCCATTGCGTTGCGGTATTGTCTGATTCTTGCGATCAGTACGATCGTTCAG